AATATAATTTATTAATTTTTCTTCCTAAAGTTTTCTCGATGTCAAATTAAAATAAAAAAAATTAGGCAATTTTTCTTGAAGTGTCAAAACGTTTTATAAGTATAGCCCTGTATGGTGGAGATTAAAATAAAATTTGTAGTATATTGTGATAAAAATTGATAAAATATGTGATTGAAAAATAACGGATTTTATGAAATATGTGATGGTTGAAAAAATGTGCATTCATTATATATGTAATTGAAATTAATTATTTCAAATTTAGATTTTAATCGACACATTGACACATACAATAATCAAATATGAATCGGATAAGGCGTGTCTAGAGGTTGATGATTGAAGAAAGAAAGGAGAACATACCTGGGACATTGCCACGAACAATTTTCTCCTTGTTTGCGTTAGAGATAGATTGGTTTCCTCCATAGATTCCTCCAAATCCTTCTTCATGAGACCTCGTTGCATATCCTTCACCAAATGAAGCAATCATTTTCCTAATTCTGTAAACATGTTGAACTCAATCACTAGTACATATTTATACACACTACAAGAAATTTCACTTGCAAGGATTAAAACATTTTATCTTAAAAAATTCCTCGATAGCCCTAGTAAATTTTTTCGTCCTCAAAAGTGAAATATATATCTATCTCTACCTCCAACAAATCAACAAAAGGTCCAATTACAAAACAAAAGAGAGAGAGAAACGGGCCGCCCAATAGAGGGCTCAAAAACAAAACAAAAGCAACCTGAAGGAGCAAAACCCAAACCTCTCCCACACCGGCACTGATCTCCCTCTTCCCTTGCGATCGACACTATTCCGACGGAGCCAAGCACGTGCGACAGTGCCCCTTCATCGAGTGCTGGATCCGCCGTTGGTGACTGTCATACTTTTATGACAATGACGCTAATTTGATTCTTAAAATATGACAAAGATTTAATGAAAAAAAGCACAGAATTATAAAAAAAACGAAGAATCAACAAATCAAAAGAAACCTATAGGCTGCAACCCTAGCGGAGAACCCCCTTCCCACAAAACTCTAGTTGTCCTTGTTAGCGTTGTTTGTCTCAATTTTTTTCTATGTACTCGCAATCACACAATTAAACAAATATTCTACATGTATATTCAATTTATTTTTCTACTTCTTAATCACACATTCTCTAAAATTTCACTATTCAAAATAATGTTTTCGAAAAAAAGCCACCAAGCATGGGCTCAATGTTAAGCCCCTTGGGCTAAAATGTATTTTAGAATAGTATTTTATTGGAGAATATTGAATATATAGTTAAAAAATAATATATATTTTTTAATTTACGTGTAAAATTATTTTATAGAATAATATATGGTTGAAAATCTCCATTAATTCACGAGTAATGTTATTTAGTCCCATCGGAATTATATCATTAATTTATGTGGCGTTAATATGACATTAAATAATAAGTATAATTAAATAAATTATTTAATTTTACCATTCATTTAGCCCAACACCAATCACTAGGGATGTAAATGAATCGGATTTGAATAAGATCTACTTATATCCGATCCGATAATCCAACAAATATTTGATTGTTAAATCCATATCCGTTTTGCTATGTTATTGGATATTCGATCCGAAATTAAAGAAATTAGGAAAAAAATATTAGAATCGACTTTTTTTTTCATTTATTTTTTTTCCAATTTTTCCAATTCTTAAACGAGTTTAATAATTATAAAATTTTCAACGTTTTTATTCTAAATTTATTTATTTTATTTACAAATAACATATGTCATAAAAAATATTTTACAGACTAAATTATTTATAACAAATCAAATCAAATTATTATCGGATCGGATAAACATATATTCATATTTGATCTATTTAGTTAACTGATTATCGAATTCAGATCAAAATCTAATTCATTGACAGCCCTACATATCACCAGATATATGATAACTCAAGAATAGCCAATCAAAATGGGGTGAATTGGTTTTTTAAAACTTTTTCGAAAAATTAATCTAAAATCAAGTACATAATAACTAGATAGATTAATTCAAATAATAAGGACGAATGTGAAAGTAATAAGTGAAGAGAGATAAATGATACAAACGATATAATTATGGAGGTTTGATTCAATGCAATGATCTAAATCCTCCGTTACTAAGCTCTTCGATACGAGAAATGTCAATTTCACTATGTTGATTGACTTGTGGTACAATCCAACCATATTCAATGCTTCCGATGACTTACAAACAAGGAGTACCGATTCTTATACAACATTGAGCTTTACGAGACATCAATACGACCCACAAGTTTTAAAGAATGTTGATTTTACAAATGAAACTTCTCTCTTAATAAATGATATGATCACAATTAATTACCAAATGAGAAATAGGCTAACACTTTAATAAATATTGAACCCCAACCTTGTGGGTCTCCCACTGCCCCGCCCCTTCTCGTGGGATGTGCCTAAGCATGCCGGGTACAAGAGCTGTCATATTGGTGTCTACAAAGAGTCAAATTTTATACCTTGTAAGAGGCAATAATCCAACTCTTACATTGCGGTTGCCAACTCAGTTGAGACTATTTTACTCGTGTCCTTTACACCACTGAGCTATGCCCTCAGGGGCCGGCTAACATTTTCATAGATAGCAATAAATGAAGTTAAAATATTATGTATGAAAAACTTTGATGTGTTGAATGGTTTTAAAAGTTAATTTATGCAAAAGTTTTTCAAAGCTAAAATAATTTGATGATAATAAATGAGATGATAAATTAACATAATTTTGCTCAAAAATATCTCGCTTGAATGCTCTTCAATGTTGTAATGAATGGCAAGTGAATTGATATTTATAGCAGTTGAAAAAGGTCAAAAATTCTGTCGAACAATACGATCACCCAGACGTCCGGTGTTGTTCCGGACGACTTATTTAGTCGTTGCTTGTCAGAAGTTAGAACGGACGTCCGGATAGGCTGAATTTTTTCAACTCCTCTCGTTTATTTGTTTGAAACAATGTAGGTTTATAAATGACCTTTTTATTTAATTTTTTGAGATAAATGATACTAGTAGGTTTGAAAATTAAATTAAGCCTCCGTTTGGCACCCCTTTTTTGCCCTTTTTTCAACAGTACTTTGCATTACGTGTGGGTCCAGTGTCCTTATTTCTGTCATACGGCTCTGACATAGGCAGGAAAAGTGTCCGGTTCCGTTAGAAAGCATGTGCCATTATTTATGAAATCCGCTTAATGCCCTTCAGGTTGGCCTTTAAAGTGGCTGGGGGCTGTTTTGTTGATTTGAGGGCAAAATGGGTAAAAACTTGCAACGGTCAAGATTACTGAATTTGTGCTCTGACACAAGAAACTGACCTTTTGCGTTTTCCCACAATTTTACTGTAGTAAAATGAGTTTTCTTCCAAAAAACGGGTGCCAAACGGGGGCTAAAATTCTTACATTTGAAAAATAAATTTTGTGCAAACTTTTTATGAAGTAGATTTTTCTCGTGCATAAAAATTCGTTATTTGAGCTTCTAATGAGTCATTGTTAAGGATTAAAGTATTTTACCTTTGCAAATAAGTTCAAGCATGTAGTTCTAATATCTTCGATTGATTTGACGCAAGTGCTCGATTTTCAATTGACATGAGTGTTTGATTTGTCTTCAATTGTAGATGCTCGAATCCATCTTGAATTTTCTTGATTGTCAAGTGCAAGTCTTTTGATAGCAATTATTTTGTCTTCAATTTGATCAACATGTAATAACGAAGACTCTAATACAAATGTCAGAAATAAAATTACTTTGTTTGTTATAATCAAAATATAAAAACAACACAAATATTTGGGTTATAATTTCAGTTGAGCTAAATAGTATTCTCTTCATCCTATTTATATAGACTGATTTTGTTTTTTCACATGAATTAAGAATAAGCTCCTATTTGGTATACATTCTTTTAAAATATATTCTTTTAAAACTTATTTCCAACCATACATTATTCAAGAAAATAATATTTTTCATCACATCAACAATTTTTCCATACTTTTTAACCACATATTTCACATCACATTACTATTTAAAATACATTATTTTTCAATAATATCCATCAAACACGCCCTTAATGTTATTAAAAAATTAATTTTTGCCAATTTTTTTCTTAATTTATTATTATTAATTTAATTTTGAAGAAGTAGGCATCTTTATATTTGTACAATTTTAAAATCAAGTATAGAAAAATTGGTTATAACTGAGCAAAATTTGTGAACCATGAAAACAAAATATTGTCGATAAAAAAAGAAGAAGATAATTGGAATAAGAAAATAGGAGAATCGGCTTGTGTAAATGGGACTGGGGAGTATTATTCTCGTTTATTCTTCTTCTTGAGCACCTTTTTTCACACCTCCATGAGTGGAAATTTATTGAAAAAATCTTCTGCCAACTGTGTTAATGGCTTTCCATTGGCTATCCATTTTGGCCACAAAATCAAGAATGCAAATTATGCGGTGGCGGGTGGCTTCCCGGGTGAAATTTACCGAAAGTGCAACATCAACTTCTTCGAGAATTTGCTGTGGAGGTCCCGATGGCAGAGAAAGATCTGAATGGTGGATGGATGGAGGCGGGCATTACCCCAAATCATTAGGTTGGATTTGGAAACTTGTTTGCTAAATTGAAAGGTCAGAACTCAAGCTTTAATTTTCCCTAAAGTTTAAATTATTCTCGCATAATGGAGCTATAAAATACTCCATTGATGGGGCCCATGGAAATAACTACTGCTTATACAAATGCTTAAGAGTAACCTGGATTTGTAGCCAAATATGGATATTGAAAAATGGATAATTTATCTAATTTCCAGTATCTTTAATAATTTTGAACGATGTGCAAGTTGAACTCAGCTCAAGCGGACGAACGGTCACATCACTTGTCAATTTTTGTGAAATGGTTAATCATAAACGACTTTAGATGCTTTGAGAACAAGTATAAAACCAGAATAGTGCCCTCTTTAATCTACTGCACTTATTGTGGGGGTGATTGTTGAGCTCAGATATGGCTAACCCTGTCTCTTCAGCTGCAGGAGCCAACCTTTTGGATGCTGAAGCTCCACTCTTAAAAGACGTCGTTCATGGCTTCGTCGACTTCAAAGGTCACCCTGTTACCCGATCCGGATCCGGGTGTTGGAAGTCAGCTTTCTTCATCATAGGTACGAATTGGAATTTGTATATGCCTAATCCTACCACCAATTTCACAGAGCAGGATTTTTTTAACAATCAATTTGGTGTCAGGGGGTGTTTTCAATCGAGAATTTTAATGATCTTTTGGTATTTAAAAAATTTAGGGTTACTCAACCTTGACTTTTGGAGGCTCTCTAAATGTACTGGTGTATTCAACTGAGACTTTTATAAAGTCTCTAAAAGTAACGATGTATTCAATTAAAACTTTTTAGAAATCTATGTAAGTTTTGGAGTATCCAAATTTTTATAGGTTTTAGAGACTTTTATAAAAGTCTCAATGGTACTAATTTTTAAGTAGAAAGTAATAAAGTAAAATCCCAAAATATGTCACTCGTTAATCCCAAGATTTTGGGAGACTTTCATAATAAAAAAGAAATTAATTGTATTTTTTTTCAATATTTATTTTCCATTTTCCCTTTTATAAACATTAGAGTTATGATTAAAATTTATTTTTTTCTATTAATTGTATTAGTTTTTATTTTTATTTCTCTCTCTCTTATTATTTATTTCTTTTTTCTGTAAAAAAAATTATTTTTATAACTTTTTTTTTTTCTTTTTTCATNTTCTGTAAAAAAAATTATTTTTATAACTTTTTTTTTTTCTTTTTTCATTCATTTTTTCTGAAAAATATCTATTTTTAATTAAATTATAAAATTTTGTGTATATATATATATATATAATATTGAATATTAAATTTATTTTTAATATGTATAATAATTATTTTTTATTCTTTTTAAAATACTTTTTATTATATGGGGGGAAAAGGAAGGAAAATGGGAATTGTCATAACCACAACCTCGTATGTGATAATTTCACAATGTTGCACTAGATCCTTCTATCTCAAATAACATTTTTTAAAAGTCTTTTGAATTCTACAAAAGTCTAAAAGTTTTAAAATGAAAGTTTATAAGTTCACAAAAGACTTTCAATAATTCTATACAAATCTTTAAAAAATTCACGAAATTCACAGAAGTCATCACTTAAAAAAAAGTTCATCAAAGTCTTCAAAAATCCCAATTGAATACACCCCCTAAGTGATTATAATCCCAAAACTAATTGTTTGCCTTATCTTAGCAACTTGAGATGCAACTAGAGTTTTGTTAATTGTTTGTTATTTATTATCTTGTTCTATTTATTAGGTGTTGAAGTTGCAGAGAGAAGTGCATACTATGGAATACTTTCAAATTTGATAAGCTATTTGACGGGTCCGTTAGGCCAATCCACTGCAACAGCAGCTGCAAATGTGAATGTGTGGACTGGAACGGCCATGCTACTGCCGCTTTTGGGTGCTTTTGTGGCTGACTCCTTTCTTGGTCGATACTTGACCATTATTATTGCCACTGGACTCTATATCCTGGTCGGTTCAAAACTTTTTACACAAAAAAATGGCATAATTATTCGCTAACATGTGTTTTCTATTTAAATTATTTGTAATAATAGATAGACTTATGCAAGATATTCAGTGGAATTATATGTCAAGCTACAAAGCTTTTAAGAGTAATTATGCCAGGTTCAGTTGCATCAAAAGATGTGATAATTCATAATTCTGATCTTGTCAATTAAAACATAAATATGCACTTCTCCAGCAGATGTCCACTTCGTAGTTTGTACTTTTGAAGATTTATCAGATTGAGCGAGTAAAATGGTTGAAATTTGTCTGTGAAGGTTATCACATTATATGTTCTGAATTTTTTTGATTGAATTTGCAGTCTTTTGGCACAACATTTTGCATATTAATTTTGACTTCCAAGTTTGAAAACTTTTAAACTGGTACTTTTTGCATGTTTTGCCATGATGTAAATGCATTTACTTGGTTGAACTTGTGATATTTGATCTGTTAGTTGCTGGAGTTTTCTGAATGTTAAGATAAATTTGGGATACACTGTGGGTTTAGTGCTCATTAAAAATAGAAGTTTTGCTGAATCATTTTGAAAAATTATGAATAATCACGAAAGGGGCTACTCTCCCCACACAAAAAAAAATTCTGTATTGTCCTCGATATGAATGGAGCCAAGGACTTCAATTTTGGGATTGATTTTGAGCAATTCTCTCTCTCACTTCAATAATGCGAAGTATTTATTTAGTGCATAACATTCTTGAAAATGCTATTCTTCAGGCAAATGCTAATCACGTTCTTTCTATTGTTATGATCTCAGGCACTTGGTGTTATGTCCATATCTGCTGCTTGAATAAGTATGTTTAGAAGACTGATCCTAATTGCTGTAGCAGATAACACAGCATCTTCTCCACCACTATTTCAAGTTATTTGCTTCTTCTTCTCCTTGTATTTATTTGCACTAGCACAAGGTGGGCATAAACCTTGTCTTCAAGCTTTTGGAGCTGACCAGTTTGATGAACAAAACCCAAAAGAATGTAAAGACAAAAGCTCCTTCTTCAATTGGTGGAGTTGTTTCATGAATATAGGTGTTATAGTGTCTCTCTATGTTTTGAACTACATTCAAGACAATCTAAGTTGGAGTCTTGGCTTTGGAATCCCGTGCATTGTCATGTGCCTTGCTCTAATTATATTTTTGCTTGGAACTATGACCTACCGGTTTAGCTCACAGAGTGAAGAAAGAAGCCCGTTTGTGAGAATCGGTCGGGTATTCCTAAATGCGGCTAGAAACTGGCGGATTACCTCGGCTGATATATCTAAGGAAGAGGATGCTCAAGGTATTCTGCCTTTTCAAGGCTCTCAACAGTTCAAGTAAGTCAACTACCATATTTTCTACGTATTTTGATATTTGAAAGCACGAGATGCATCTTGACCTTGCTTTTGTATACATATGGCTTCATTGGAAAAGTTTATTATGCACCGTTTGATTTTGCTATTAATCGGATTTTTAGTAGATTTTGATAAAAGTTGATGATATATGTTGTTGACAAGTTGATAATAGTTGTGATTCCCATAAAATGTATGGTTGAATATGAGTTTCGGGTAAAATAAGTTTTAAAAAAATTAGGGGCAAATAAGGGCTATGTAATACTAAAAAACGTGAAGAAAATGAAACTAAAATTTTAGCCATAACACTGTCCAATATGGAGTTCCAAACTTGCCATTAAGTGCAAAAAAAGAGATAGAAATGATTAGCCAATGGCATCTTTGCACTGTTCACTTTGTACCTATGTAGAATTCGACTAATGTACTTTGCCTGAGATAGCTTCAATATAACCTTTTAGTTGTCCCCAATTCTCATCCCAAGAATTTGTGTTGATGCATCCAAGTTCTTTATTTTTAATTTTGGTGAAAATTGCTTCTTTAACTTCTGATTTCTTCCCTATGTGAATCTAATACTAACATGTCATCAACGTAAAGTAGCATAATAACATAACTGGACTTGAACCTTATGAAGCAGCAATAATGGTCAGCATTGCACTTTTTGTAGCCATTTTTCTTTATAAATTCATAAAACTTCTTTTACCACTATCTCGGGCCTTGTTTCAAGCCGCACAACTACGTTTGTTCAATTTGCATACGAGCTTCTCATTCCCTTTGACTTGGAAGCCTTCTGGTTGCTGTATGTATATCTCCTTTGTGTCACTGTGGAGCAAAACAGTATTCCTATCTAAATACTCAAGTACAAGCTCTCTGTTGCAACAATAGTCAAACCTTCATGTAGCTGCATGTTTTGAGCTCTTTCTGTCAATGTCCAATTCATCTGTTCTGTCATTCCATTTTGATACGTATTTCTTGAGTTCCTGGCGAAGTCTTCTGTGTTTTGATGCCAATTTGGTTACAAAACTTCTCGAATCCCATATTTTAGTACTCTCCACCATTGTCGGATCTCAACTTTTTCACTCGCACTCCAGTTTCATTCTCCACCATTTAAATACCTCAAACGCTAAAGATCATTGATAAAAATCACAAAATAAGATTTATTGCCAATGGATGAAATTGATGTGGTCCTAGACATCTGTGATGGATTAACTCAAGCTTCTCTTGCTTCGGCGTTCTTTCACATTTCTTGAAACTCACCCTCTTGTGCTTTCCAAAGATGCAATACTTGCATACGTCTACATCAATTGATTGAAGCCCTGGTAGTTTCCCCTTAGAATGCATTTGTTTAAGCATATGTTTGGCAAGTTTATTAACAGTTGTATTTTTAAACAGATAGAAATTAGTTATGGATAAGCGCATAGCACTTGTGGATCCCACAAAATATGTGAATAAAAAGTTATTTGACTTTTAACATGTTTATGAGCACTTGCGAAACATACTTTAAATCCTCTTCGACTCATGTGACCAAGTTTTTGATGCCATAGATTTGGATCCTCCTTAAAATCAGCAACTACAATTGTCTGACAAGCATTCTTCGTATAAAGAATGCCATTCTTATTGCCACAGGCAAAGGTCATTGCACCCCTGGAAACCTTCCAGTAACAGCTGCCTGACAAAAAATCAAGTTCGTTCTCAAGTTTGGGATGGTCTTACATTCTTCAATTTTCATACAGATCCAATTCACCTTTATCCACTATGTGACAAGGCTGATCATTACTGAGATATACCTTTCCAAAATAAATTTACCGGTTCATACCTCATAAAGAGTCCTCTAGTTGAGGTAGCATGAAAAGATGTTCCAGAATTTATTACCCAAGATTTTACCTTGCTCTCCAAATAGCGCATATATATATTGAAAGCATTGTGTTATCGTTCCGCCACAACATTAACCTTGAACCTCAGTTTTCTTGAAACTCGCCCTCTTATTTTTTATTGTCCAGTCTTGCCATAGTTCCAACACTTGATAATCTTGGATTTGGTGAAAATCTTTTGATTCTTCCTGGACTTGCACGTGCCATGCCCATTACCTCTGTTTGATATCTGTCTCTTTCCATGTTCAAAGTGGCTCTCAAAGTAGAAACAACACCTGATTGTCTTCAAATCACCCCAGTCAAGATCATGCTCACGACATCATCAAACTCAAACTTGGACTTTCCGATAGAGCTACTATTACTAATTGCTGAAACTGTGCCATTCCAAGGCAACTGCCCAAGAATTAATAAATCCTGAACCTCATCAAGAAAGTGATTTTGACCATGTATAGCTAGTCCGTCCACTTCATTGAACTCATTTAGATGTTCTCCAATTCTTCTGCCTTCCGTCATCTTTCTATTAAACAACTTTTTGGCTTTCCACCAAGTGGTTTATACATATCTTTCGGGTTAGGTAGTCCTAAGTCCTCCATTTACATTTTTCCAGAATTCAATTGATACTGTAAAACTTATTGATTTTGGATATATTCTCCTCTGTCCTCATTGCACCCACTCAAACACGAAGTTGTAAAAAAGAAGATTTTGAATTGTATGTTGCTGTAGTGACACAACTTTGTCATGTTTCTCTGATACCAATCACTAGGAATTATATGCTTACTAATTCCATGACGATGTGCGAAATAAATTATTTAACTATGAAGAAACAAAAGATACAAAATTAAGAGCATGTACAAGACACAAAGATTTAACATGGTTTTGCAATTGTGCTTACATCTATAGAACACAACTTTTTTTCACTATATCAGCCAAATAAAGAAGAATACAAAGAAACACACTGACACTATTTTTAGCCTATGCAGAGGCTTTTTCTGTCATCTAACTCTATAGAAGCTTAACTCTTTGTTTTTAGCTTTTTGCACCTCACTTGAACTCTTGCACCTCGTTTGGCCCCATCAATAAATTATAATAAGCAAATTGTCAAGAAGGATGGATTTTGTGTCTGAAATTGTCCATTGTTTTTACATTAAATGCCTTGACAATTTGTACTTACCTCGCTTTCACGAATCTTATAAGAAACCATTCCGAAGCCTTTTGAATGTGAAGCCCATAATCATCATTAGGTCACTATTCAATAATAGTCTTCACTGTTCAACATCAACCTTATTCAGTTTCATTATAGTACTTTTGGTTTGTGACAGGTTTCTTAATAAAGCATTGCTTGCACCTGATGGTTCTGTGGAAGACGGGAAAGTCAGTAGTATCTCTGAGATTGAAGAGGCAAAGGCAGTTCTCAGGCTTGTTCCAATATGGACTACTTGCCTAGGATATGCCATTATATATGCACAATCCTCCACTTTATTCACCAAGCAAGGAGTTACAATGGATCGCCATATCACGTCTAGACTACAAATACCAGCTGCTTCATTTCAATCTTTTGTTAGTGTTGGTGTTGTTGTCTTTATTCCAATTTATGACCGTATTGTGGTTCCAATTGCAAGATCGATAACCGGGAAACCCGCTGGCATAACAATGCTTCAACGAATTGGAATTGGAATAATTTTATCTTTTCTTTCCATGGTAATTGCAGCTTCAGTTGAGAGGGAACGTTTGAAAATTGTTGTCGAATATGGACTGGTGGATCTGCCAAATGCAACAGTGCCAATGAGTGTGTGGTGGCTACTACCTCAGTATCTGCTTTTCGGAATTGCAGATGTATTCACCTTAATTGGGCTCCAAGAATTCTTCTACGACCAAGTTCCAAAGGAACTAAGGAGTATTGGTCTTGCTCTATACCTTTCTATATTTGGCATAGGGAGCTTCTTGAGTAGCTTTCTTATCTCTGTGGTGGAGAAAGCCACCAGTGGCCCGGGTCAAGATGGTTGGTTTTCGGACAACCTTAATCGGGCTCAACTGGACTACTTCTATTGGCTGTTAGCCGCGCTTAGTGCTGCTGCACTCGCTGCCTACTTCTACTTTGCAAAATCTTACATCTATAATCGAAGTAATAGTCTTTGAAGTTGTATAGGAACATTACCTCTACAAATTATGGGTAGTAGAACTGCAATATTGTGCAATAAACTGAACTAATAATCGATAGTTTGTGTATATATCTCAAGAAGTAGTTGTAAATAAACAATGTTGCTTGTTCGTGTATATATCTCTAGAAGTGTTTTTTTCTTTTAGATAAACAAAATGAAAACATTGCAAATTGATTATAGAGGTGAGTTTACTTGCTTATGGCGCTAACCATCGAGGTTATACTTGTCAAGGCATCCTGTTCTGATGAACTTAGTTTTCAACATGTTCAAAAAATCAACTTGTTTTGTTCCTAAGCTTCATAAAACTCTCTACGAAGTCAAATACGTTATGAGTTGTCCACTATCACTTCTTGTGTTATCTACGAAACTAAATCATGCATGCTTAACGAATACATAACTTCTCCTAAAATTTGTTGTGTTTTGAAAGCAATCAGAAAAAATCTCTTCTGTTTACTCATTTTTGTCAAAGGTTGCGCTCCAGAGAAATTGCCGAATTGTCAATATTTTGGATGCCGAAACTCCGCTCTTAGATGATATCATTGACTTCGAAGCCCGCATTTGGTGATTGAACAGCTTCTTAAAATACCTCAATTGCTAATGTAATATTCGAATTGTTTCCGAAATGTTATTGAAGGATCACAAATGTATTCCATATACCAACTTCATCAATCTCCATTCAAAAGCAACGAGGCCGACGAAATGTCGAAGTGGCATGATTTATAAGATTGATTTGCCATCTCAACAAAATCACTAGTGAATTGGTATAAATTGAATTCTAAGAGAAGTAATGCAATTTATCATTACGATGATGGAATATTGGTGATGTAATAATCCATTATTCCCACATCTCTCTCTCTCTCTCTCTCTCTCTCATACAAATTGAAATGTTCAATCTCATTATTTCGCATAGACTGTTATATCATCGATGTTCTATCATCATAATGATAAATAATATTATTCTTCTAAAAGTCGCCTTTTAAATAAATATAAAAAAAGTTTAATGAAATCGAGGGAATGGCAATGGAGGTCCCAAACTTTCCAAAAAAGTGTAACATGATCCCAAACTTTGAAATTATTGCAAATATGTCACAAACTAACAACGTTAGTCCAAAAATCCATACCAAAAGTCAAGCCTTTGACCATAATTCAACCACAATATTATGATGATATTATAATTTTCAACAGATTAATTAAATTATTCTTAAACATTTGTTTATATAGGGTGTGTTCGAGATCCATTTTATGGAAAATAGGTTTTGTAATAGTAATTTTTTTAATAACGTATGGTTAAAAAGTAGAAAAAAAATTGAGTTTACGTGTAATATTATTTTAGTTGAAGAATGTGTTAATTATTTGTCAACTATATTTGAAATAAATCTTATTCAATAATTTTAGAAAAATTAAATAAAATCTATGATTTTTTTTTTAGTAAAATTGTTTATCTTAAGAAATAAGAAAAGGAAAATATGTAGTTTAAATATAATAATAAATCTTAAATTAGAATGAAGGGGAAAATAGAAAATATATATCTATTTTAGCTGACAAGAGGTACACGTCGTAACTGTAAATTTCAAGGGTGGTTTTTGAAGTTTTTGAAAAGGTAGGGAGTATCTATAAAATTGTCATACCTCCCTTGAGGCTTATGTAATCTGATATGTATTTTTATTATTTTTCTTATTTTTTTGAAAAGGGGTGGTTTAAGTAATTTGCTCTCTCTCTACATAATTTTTAAACTTATTGCTATCATAATTTTTATATACCATATTTTAATTGCATTTAAATTCCTCAATCTTTACTGACTGTAACAATTTTTTCTTAACTTTTCTCTCTTGAATTTTTATTTTCAACCTTCCATTAATTAGTACGTCTCGTTTTTTATGATGATTTATATTAAAATATTTTATTTTCATGTTTTGAAATGATGAAAAAAATATTTTTTTGCATTTTTATTATTTATTTTTAAAAGTATGATGGAAAAGTATGTTATTTTATGCCATTTCAATGCACTTTTGAACATAAAATTGTTATCAAATACAAAATGTGTTAACTAATGGAAAGTTTGAAAATAAGATTAACATGAAAAAATGGTAGGAATATAAGTGTTATAATGGGCAAAGATTAAGAACCTCAAATGTAATTAAGATATGGTGTAAAAAATAAAAATTGTGGTCTGAATATAATTACCTTTATTCTTAACTTTTTATCAATTGACGAATGATTATTTTCATCTATAGATTTTGTTAGAAACAACGGATATATATATACAGAAATGATCTAATGATCACCAGTGCTCATCTTTTTCTAAGCACCGATGAGTTGACACATTAATTCATTGGTGGATAAAGATTTTGTGAGTTCCAATCCACCAATGAATTAATATGCCGACTTATCGGTGCTTAGGATAAAAT